GGGACTAGAGCCTCAGCTGGGCCCAGAGCTGCTGCTGCCACTGCTTCCTGGCTGGGCAGGGGCTGGAGCCAAGATATGCTCTGTGTCCCAGGCCTGAGCCAGAGCCACAGCTGCTGCTCAGGACAAGTGGTCGTGCCAGGAGGCACAGGCACTGTGGTAGAGGGAGCAGATGCCACGGGGCCACAGTCATTGCATGAAGGGATGTGGGTCCCAGAGGGCACAGAAACTGTGTGGAGGGCAGATAGTGGCAAGTGCTGGTTGTCAGGCCACTTGACTCCCCTGCTGCTCTCCCCATTACAGCAGTGGGTTGATTTATTTAAGACAGCTCTCCAATAATTAGATTCTATACCTGGAAAATTATAACAAATTTGTTTTCTATATGTAGAATCTAATTATTGTGAGGTTATCTTAAATTTGAAAGTCATCTTGGATTTGGGTAAATATGGTGTATGTGCGCTTTATGTAAGTGTTTTTGGTACTAAATAGGGGTGCACCGATATATTGGTCCATATCAAATCAGCACCAATAAAAGGAAAATTGACATTATCGGCAATCAGCTTTTTTTGGCCAATGCGACCAGTTAACAACGCTGATAAATGCCGTGTGCACGCGCACAGCCGCAGCATGCATGGAGCCAGGAATGTAGCCCAGCAGCTTAGAGAGCAGCATCTGGCCAGTGAGTCCGTGGCAGGGGAAGAGGCATAGGGGTGCTGCTTCTGTGTGCATCCCCAAGGGAGGCATGGAGGGCAGGTACCCCCCAGATTTGTGCGCGAGTTGCCTGCTGTGGGCTTCCTCACCCCACACAGATCCAGGGGGCACATGCATCTCCCCTCCTGCCCCCCAGACGACCAGCCTGCAGCTCTGTCCCATGCTTCATCCCAACTGGGCAGCCCCAGCGCCACTCCCTCCCTCACCATGGGGGCCTTGTTCTGCCCCTGTCTCCTGACAGATTGACCAGCCAGATGCTGCTCTCTAAGCTGCTGGGCTGCATATCGGCAATCGGATCGGTATTGACTGATATGTCTGGTTAATTGGCTATTGGTATTGGCCAAAAAAATCTTTATTGATGCACCCCTAGTACTAAAAATGTGTAATGTTCAGAATCCATTAAAATACATCTGGTATCCGCTTGCTAAAGATCCTCTGTTTCATACAGGACATCACATTGTTAAAGCTGAGTGAGTGACTTTGGACATACTTTAATTAAATAGTGTCTTTAAATAGCAAGTCAGTTGCATATTAAAATGTGAATCATAAACTATCACCTAGAAAATATAGTCATAAAAGAAAATTGCTCCCATTTTGCTCACCCCTATAACTTGAAGTTCGAAAGGCAGTGGTGTGTTTTTGAAAGAGGTGTTAAACGCATCAAAGAAGATTAAATCATATTTGATATTTTTTATGCCTGCTTGCATTATGAGCAGTGAGAGAGAAGGAGAAAAGCCACGTAGGTGCAAGGACATGCTGGTGAAATGCAGTGTTATAAACTGTTAATATTTGGTCTTCTTTCTTGAAGCTGCAGCTTCTTGAAACTTATGATTACAGCTTACATTTAAAAGCTCTCCCACCTCCAGAGGAAATATTTAAAAATGTGATCATAAAGTCTAAAAATTAGATAACAAATGAAAACAACCTAAAATTTATTTAAGAAAATGAGATGGGGGCATTTGCTAATTCATGATTTTTGCAGCCTTTGAGGATTGGCAGTACTGGAAATATATGAAAAATACAGAGGGATTTCAAGAGAGAAATTGGTAAATTCACTGCATCAGTGTTCATAAAAATATTTGAGAACTTGATTTTGATGATTAAATCAGAATCCTGGTGCGTTGGACTTTGTTCTCTAGTCTGCCATAGAACTTTCACACAATGATTTTTAACAATGGAGATTTTGTGAGCAGTAGCTTAAGAAATGCCAGTTGTAACTGAAGGTTTATTTTTCAAAGTAATTTTAGTTTATTCATGCAGAACTGTGCCTACCTTTGGAACTTTCAGACTGCAGGGCTGAGCAAACGAGGGTTCACTTTTTTTTTTGCTTTGTTTATGAATGGAATGGTAAGGGATTCTGCACTCTGATCTTTCTAACTAACACCTATTTTGGTGGTATATAATAATAGTTAAATAAGATACTCTTAACTTGCTGCAATCTAATTTGATGTTCTTTGGATTAAGTATGAAAATTCTAATGTGGTTCTAACTGGATACTTTGTACTTTACTGTTTTTTCTAAAATGTTGCCTGTCCCATGATTCAGATTTTTTTTCTTTTTCCAGACTCACTTTTTGTTTGTCCGAAACCATGCAAATCATAGTAGAGGAGCTACTCTGTACATAGTAAGTACATGTAGTGGTTTGAATTCTATTTTTTCCAAGTCCTGGAAATGAGAGAGTCCAGTTAAAAGGGTATTTTGTTTTTCCCAATTCATTTATATTTTCCCTTGATCACCCTTACATTTAGGTATTTTATTTCAATGTGGGGAGCAAAGGTATATCTGGCATGGTGTACATGGCTAGATTAGAATGATAGAATAGAAAAATACTGTTTGGCTTTTGGTCAGTGGAGGGGCATTCATAGGCCGTTTGTTCATATTATTCCATAGAAATAATAGTATGGTATCTTTGTTGCTTTAGTTTAAGACAGAATGCTATATATAAGCCAGAAAAGGAGGAAAAATGGCATGTTATTATCTAAGGTTAAGTTATGCTTAGCTGAGAATTAGTTGTATAGCCCTCATGGCTAATAGAAGATTTGAGTTTTAACTGGATTTGAACAAGCTGACTGAGTTTCATTCTTAGTATGTTTTAGAAGTTAGTTTGCCTGCTCTTGGTCAATGAGAGCCATAATAAGAGCTCTTTTTGGATCCTTTGTTGTCTCTGAAGTTCCAAGTGGCTTTGTTAGCCAGTTGTTCATGGCTTTGATATCTTCTGTAACTGATTATTCTGATACAGATATCAGTACAGGCCTTGTGGATAAAGTGGCAGAATAGGACATGAGAGACTTAGTGCCCTGACAGATAGTACATTGATGGTGTAATTAACATGTTAATTGCACCATAAATAGATATGTGCCACATGTTCAGCCAACTTATGGCACAAACAAACAAGCCACAAACATGTTCCACATTTTAATGTGGAACATCTTTTTGGCTGGTTTGTATCCTGCCTTAAATTGAACGTGTAGCATTTGTCCCACACCCAGGGCTGCCTGTGCTTGATTTGGACTCCCAGCTGATCATTGGAATTTGGCACGGGGCACTCTGGCACAGGCAGCCTTGGGTCCCTATTTGGCCCTGGCAGTCGTACAATTAGGATCAGTTTTATATCTCCATCTCAAGTATTGTCTGTCCTGCTATACAGCTATGGCATAAAAGGACACGTGAATTTTGGGATGAGGCAAAACAAATACTCAGATCACAATTACTCCATTATTTTAACATTTGCCGGGGGCCCTGGGTTCTAGTCCCACCCTTTCTACTGGCCTCTTAGGTGATCTTCTGAAAAACTGCTTGACCTCACCTCCTTGACCCTCTGTTTTCTTTCCTGAAAAACAGAAATAATGATATTGATTTCTCTAAAGCACTTCTGGTCTGCAGATGGAAAGTGGTGCATAGGTCCTTCTGGTCCAGCTCATGTCCCCATTTGACGACTGTTCAGATATGGGAGCCTGCATAGAATGCAGTGAGTGGCTTGCTTGGCTATTTTATTAACTAAAGAACCAGAATGTAAATGTGAAGGCCTGTTGCATATAAACTAATTTTTGTAATACTTTTATAAAATGATAGATGTTCCAGAGATGTTGGATATGTTTTAACATTTTTAAATACAGCATTATCATAAAGAGAAGATTGATAATAGACACTTAGTAATGAACAGTATAAATTTAATATATACGTAATACTGGTATTTTATATCGAGTTAAATTTGATAATTGGAACTCCCCTGACTTGTCTCTAAAAGCCTGAGGCTTTGCATTTATCTTTAGACTCAGGATTTTTGGTAATACATGGGGTTTTTTTTCCTATTCAGACTTGGGTTTTGCTTATCTTTGTACAGTAAATTAATTTAGGAGGCATTTATCCAAAGTGAAGTCCAGGTCTGTGTGGAAATGCACCCTCTTCTGAGTGGCCACTAAAGTCTTAGTACCTTTTGCAGTATTCTGAAGAATTAATCTTCTCCCACAGAAAATAGGCACTTAATGTGGGTATATGAGAGACCATTAAAATAGGCAGACAGGAGAAGAGGTCACTTTTTTTTCTTTTTTTTCTTTCAAAGTCGCTTTTTTTTGCAAAGGACTAGTCTCATGTTCTGGCAGTGAACATAATAGCTTGTTGTAAATGTGCAGCAGTAATTAAAATCTACAGTCATACATAACTGTATAAGCCTTATTCTCTCTAAAATTTACCAAAATTTGCACATGAGAACTCCGCATAAAATATCTCATAATCATGTCTGGTTCCAGCTTTACACAGCCAGGAGAGAAAGAGATTTAGGTGGTTGGAGATTGTGGTGGTGGGGGTAGTTCTTCATATGATCCTTGATATTGAATATTCAACAACTTGAAAGAATTTCCATACTGGAAAATAATGTAACTTTGCTTGTACCAACCTGAGGGAAGGTTTTAAATCTTGTAGAGAAGGGAGGGAATAAAGTACACATTTTTACCTACATCAGGTGGTTCTTACTCCAAGTGCCTTTTCACATAGGACAGGGGTTGTCAGCTGCGGGTATGCGTACCCCCTGGGGTACTTGAGAAGGCCCCAGGGGTACATGGGCAGGCAGGGATGGGGTGCTGCCACGCACCATCCCATGCTGCCGTGCAGGCACCACCTGCCGAGCCGGATGCAGGGGGGCGGGGGAACTCGCACATGGCGGCTGCCACTGCTCCGCATTTGGCCGCGTGTATCTATTAAAGATTTTTTTTGTGTTTGCAACAAGACATTTCTTTATTTTTGATAAATTCTGCAGCATTACCTGAATCTTCTAATAAGTGTCAGTTACTTTATAAAAAAAAATATGGCAGAGTATATATTCAGAATATTAAACTAAAGCTTAAAGGATTTTTATGAAAGGATTGTATGAGCAGTGTCCAGGGATCAAAATATTACAAAAATAAGTTCCATGCCACTTATTTCATTATGAGATTTGACACTTATCTGACTTTAGAGAATTGGCAAGGACTCTGGACCTCAAGTTTTAGAAGGCATTTGTGTTTAAGTATTGGAGGGCTGACTCACTATTTAAACCATTTCAGGCCAGGCATCCGTTTCAAGAATTTAGACTAGATTCCTCTCCTTTTTCAGCCACACTGCTTGACTTTTACTGTAACCTTCTGCTTCATTTCCCCTAATTCCTACCTCTTCTTCCTCACACTAAAATGCTGGTTTTGACATATAATAGAACTCTTTGCCCTATGCTAGTCATGTTGTGCGCTTCTCGGATCCCATCATTGTCTGTGTTTACTGCCAAAAATGCATGCTCCTTGCTCATGAGTGTATTTGAAAAGGATCAAGAATTTCCAAACTAAAATATATTTAATACAAAGCTTTTAATTGATCATGTAAAGCTACCTTTGGAATTGTGCACTTGGATTGCTGCTTTCAGAAAGATGTAGTTAAAATGACAAGAAGCAGAAAACCATTAATCCTCTAGATTAAACATCCAGAGGAATTCTTTATCAAGAAAAAAAAATTACATAAGTTTGGATTGGCTAAAAAAGAAGCTAGTAGGGGAGACAGAAAATCTATTTATTTGGAAGGTTTAATTGCTACAAAGGGAAAATAATTGTTCAGAGTGGGTGCAGATGAATAACAAGGAACAGTGGCTGAAATCCACAAAAGGTCTTAGCTGAGTTGGAGGCATGGATAAACATAGCACTTAGAATGGTTTTTAATATGGCTTAAACCTAGAATGGACAAATACATAAGCTTGTCAAACTGATTTAAACCTTCATGGAACCATTGAAAAGTATAACTGGAAAATAAAATACTATTTTTGAACCAATTCACTATGAACTGATTCTGTGTTATTTGTGGATACATAGCATTCCATGATACAGATCAGGTGTGTCCTCCAGGTATCCCACACTACATCACTCCTTCCCTCTCCTCCCCCCTGCTCTCCTTCCCCCACTGCAGCAACTGGCTCTAATAGGTAGCTGCAACTCCGCTGCCATCTTTTTGTCCCTTTTTGTTGGCACTTTTTATCAGTGCTTGTTCAATAAAACCAATCTTTCTGTCAGCTGTGTCCTCATTCCCTACTTGATCTTGGCCCCTTGTCAAGTACTACTTCCCCTTGCGGTCTCTGGAAATCTAAAAATGGAGTCCAAATACCACCCCCCACTCCCCTTGTGGATACCTCAGATCAGACAAATGCTACAGAATTTGATCAAGTGCAGGCTACTGAACTTTACCGAGCTCCTGTTTAGGAGAGAAGCAAAAGCAGAAAAATGGAGATGCCCCTAGCCACAGGTTATGCACCTCCTGGAACCCCCAGAACATGAGTGCAAGTACTTCCACCCTCCCTTCACTTGCCCCCCACCCACTGTGAGGCATGTAGGGCTAGATGCTCACTCCTATCCCATGGTTAGAGCCACAACACTTTACACAATTGTGAACTGGCTCCTGGTCAGTGACATTTTGGAATGGTTCGTTTATGCCTGTCTCTACCTGTAGGCATCTCTAAGAGTGAGATCCTCAACTACCCCCACTCCCCCCTTCCCCAACCAAATCTACAGGTGTGTCTGTTTTTGTCAGTAAGATTCTTTCCATACCTGAGGTTCTGCTTCTGCACATGCCCACAACTTCAGCTATTGAGAATGGGTGAGCAGCTTGGCACCTATGTTATCTAACCCTCCTTACAATTACTTTCTCACTTAAATCTACTTGAACAGCCCAGCCAGTAGGTGCCTGTGTGTGCACACATGCACGTACACACTTAAATCTCCTGGAAGAGCCCAACCAGTAGGTGCCTGTGCATGTGTGCGCGCACATGTACACACAAATCTGCTTGAAAAGCTCCCCCCCCCCAAACAAAACAAAACAAAACAAAAAAACACAAAACAACCCAAACAACCCCCAACTACGGGCTGGTTCCATTCAATAAAATGGCTGGAGCTGGAGACTGTCCTTTTCATACACTTGTTCAGTGTTGAAGCACTTGTACATAATGTGGCAGGCCTGTATGCTGTGCTGGTGGGGGGTTAGCCCACATCTTTTGCTCCTAGTCAAATGTTCTAACTATAAAGTATGGTCTGTTCTGCAGTGAGCATGTTCTTCTTCACATTCCCTGTTGAATATACTTTTTGCAAAGTGATATTCTTCAGGATTCATTTGGGTCAGAGGAAGAGGTAGTATGCCTCTGTTCTAGTGATTAAGGCACTCAGGGAAGGAGCAGTGGTTTTGCTGCTATGTACAGCACCAGCCATAGACATACTGGAATAACACATCTTGTTCTGGTTTTGGCTCTTCCAAAACTGTTTTGAAAAACTGAAGATGTACAAAATAATCATAAAAATAATGTTCAAGCTAAATAAAATGTCTTATAGTGAGATTTAAAGAGCCCAATTTGCTTAACTCATCAAAAAGAGGAAAAAATCGCATTATCACTTCAAAATGATTACCTTCACAAGGAGAAAATACCAGGGTCTGGAGTTTTCTTGAAGCTTGCAGATGAGACGCATATATTAAAAATAAGTGAATAAATAATTAGAAACTTTAAAGACAAATTTCAAGGAGAAGTATAGCACAAAGAAGTTCTTTTATTGTAAAGGAAAACGTTAAAATTGTATTTATACTTTTTTGTACTTTATTGTATTTCATTCTTTTTGTTGTTTAAATGCAATTTCATTTTAAGATAAAATGCCATAGTTCTTAGTTTGCACTTCCCCCCTATACTTTCTCAAGATTTGTCCAGGGTTTTGTGTAATATGCCTGTTTACTTCAATTAGTAGTTCTGGGGGACAGTAGTAACTGGCTAATACATTTTAACCCAAATAAATTGAAGTAGTATACAGATCTCTGCTATGGAACAAAAGTGCTGATCACGTTTGGAAAACTTAAATCAATCTCTGTTAGATCAGGCATTAAGAAGAAAAACTCTTCCGAATTTGAGGAACAAACATTTCAGTTGCCAAATTGGGTTGACTTTAAATGGACCAGCTGTCCATGTTAGGAGCAGAGGGTTGCTAACGTTACGGTGGTTGTTTGAAGAAGAATGCAGCTGAGAGGGCAAGTTCTTGATGTGTGAGCTGAGGGAAGGAATTTGGTGTGATCATGCATCAGCCCTCCTAATCACAAGTTCAAAGAGGGCTGTGTGGGCAGTGTGTAGAAACTACAAGTCTGTGTGCTGGCGCTTGTGTCTGGTTACAATAGTTTTGTTTTCCTAGGAGCCAGAGGGCTTACAGTTTAGCTTGAAAATGCCAAGTTTTTTTTGTTATTGTTTTTTGTTTGTTTGTTTGTTTTTGAAGAAAGGAGCTTAAGCATTCAAATACAGTGCTGAATTTAGTTAGAAAGTATTTAATAGAAATATTATAGCTAAAATTTCCTTGCTGGCAAATAAAGTTAGATTGCATTTCTGGACCTTTGGTCCTACCACTCTGAGTTTTGAATGTATTTAGTTTTCATAATTGCCAGCAATAACACCAGTCAGAACTCTCTTTCCTAGCATGTTTAGTTTCTCTT